TACAAAACCTGAGAATTACGCTCTAGGGATAGGGGCCAAATCCTGGAATATTAGAAGGAGCAGTGGAAGTGAAAGAAATTCAAATTGACTTCAATGCAAGAAATTAGGTCTCTTTATATGCAATTAGAGTAAGGAATAAAATCTAATCCACTCCTACAAAAACAACATAAAGAAGGAAATCTTATCTAATTTTAAAAATTAGAAATACATATTTTGAAATATATTTAAATTCGATTATCAACCTTCTACTGATGCTCTCATCACCATCCAATGGTTGAGATTTTCTCGCTTCCTGATCTTTATCATCACATACCAGATTAACAGTCTCTCTTATCGGTGTTATTTGAGAATCAATCTTTGAAGAAAACTTTCTTATATAGACTTCTTTGAGGTGGTCAATTAGAGTATTTCTAGATCAATGAACCTTCATCTAGGAGGGGATTTCACTTCTCTATGAGAACATAACATTAGGTAAGAGAAGGTTTTCGGCCTTCCATTTGCATTTCTCAACTACTCTTTCATGAGATATTTTAGACACTAAATTTGAAATTTTGGATATTGGCAGCCTTCTAGATCGTGAAGCTTTATTAGCATTTCATCTTTAGGAACCTACTAAATTATGGCACTTTCTTGTATTACTATTGTCCCTACAAATGCCCCAAGGTCATATTATGGTGTACTACTTAGTTTGGCTTGGTCTTATAGTAATATTTATTCTTATGAGCCTACAAAAACTCATCTTATCCAGCTTTTCTTTTATTTTATTTTTTTTAACGTTGGCAAGAGGGTGTGTTATTTGAATACTTTGAATGATGAAGACATTTGTTTATTGCAGCTCTTGCATCATGGCTCTTTCTAAACCCATGGCTTACTTCATTTTCAATGTCTTTAGATAGCTGAAAGTTGTAACAATACACAATCTCAACCGCCCATTGATTGCCTTCTCTTTCGTGGAACCAATCTTGAAGAATGACTTCCGGTAAATCAGTATAATTGGTAGCATTTTGTTGAAGACGGGTTGTACAACTTCCTCGATCAATTTGAAGATGGGTTGTACTTAACTTGGCTTCGTCTTATGGTTCTTATGAGCCTACAAAAACTCATCTTATCCAGCTTTTCTTTTATTTTATTTTTTTTAACGTTGGCAAGAGGGTGTGTTATTTGAATTCTTTGAATGATGGAGACATTTGTTTATTGCAGCTCTTGCCTCATGGCCCTTTCTAAACCCATGGTTTACTTCATTTTCAATGACTTTAGATAGCTGAAAGTTGTAAGAATACACAATCTCAACCTCCCATTGATTGCCTTCTCTTTCGTGGAATCTATCTTGAAGAATCACTTCCGGTAAATCAGTATAATTGGTAGCATTTTGTTGACGATGGGACGTACAACTTCCTCGATCAATTTGATGGAGTCATTATACACCCTTGAAACGTGATAAATACTCAATTAATTTTTGCATCTACAAGTCACATTCCCTGCCAAGATAAAGAAAGCATAGTTTCTTTCTTCTTCAAAAAGGCATGCCAGAATCAGCAAAAATATTTGCCCAACATTGATAAGCCTATTTGCTGGCCCTGCTATTAATCATCAATAAATGGCATGTTGATGTCATCTTATGGCAAAAGGATCTTTTATGCTTTTTAAGATAACACTGCAAGGTCCCCAATGTAATACTATATGCCTATCATGATTGTATAAGTTATTGAAGATTACTTGGCATTTATCAAGTAGAACCACTTCACATACCATACTTTCGATGTAATCCTTGACAAATACAAACTACAATCAATAGAAGTGACCGATCTTTATCTCTAGACAATTTTTAATCTAACCAAACGACTAAACATTGAAACGGAGAATGGCTCCAGACCTAATTTTCCCACCTTACTTACAATAAGGAGGCTTTACTAACTGTTGGAGTCAATGATGGAATTGATTACCTCTTGCTTAGCCTATCTCCTTAAAGTGAATTCTTTCATCCATCCACACTAGACAATGATCCCGATACTAGATCCACCAGCACTGCCATCTGAGATATGCCTTGTTCAAAATATTCAGCAAAACGTTATTAACAACAACAATAGCAATCTTATTTTTCAATACTAGTATTTTTGGAAAGGTGTTTACAATGTATTTTACAGTATTTTTCTTTAGTGCTATCAAGCACGTGAGATAAATTTTATAGCATTGCCTAGCTTTATCCATTTCTAACAACTTATTTTCTCTACCTGTGTTTTTCTATTATATGACCATTATCATGCTAATCGCCAAGTTAAGGTAGAAATCTGAAAGAGGTAACTTTCATTAATGCTTCAAAAGAGAAAATGAATACTAGTTAAGCAGCTCAGTGAACAATAATATAAATTAAAGCTTGGTATGCAACGTCACACATTTAACAGTAAATTAACTTCTTTATATGTAATTGTGAAACCCAACACAGAATTATAATAAATTAAGTTTAATTTAAATAAAACATAATTAAAATTAAATTATTTTTTCAACTTTCTTTGATAGCCACTTTTTTTAATAGATTAGAAAAGGATTAGAAGAATTTTTGGTACTTAAGGGAGGCACCTTTACCATTGTGATAAATAAAAATAACTCTATACTTTAATTTCTTACTGCAAAAAACTTCTCTTCCCAGTTTTTGATTTGTCAAGGCTTTGGGCAGAAGAATCTCTTTATTTTTCATTTAGAGAGAAAACCAAATGTTGTTCCTGCTCCTGTTTTTTGTAAATATAGCAAAACAACGAACTGATTTCCTCCCCATGGGACCGGTGGCAAAAGAAAAGAACAGAGTTCATATATGAGTTATTGAGATTTCAAACGTAAGGCAAGAAGCTCTAAGCAATCTGTAGGCTTCAGGAGGTCTCTTCCAAGAAGCCGAACAAAAGTACGGATCCTGCATGTTGCAGTTTTTTTGAAGCGTTGAAAAAGACCAGCAGTTACACATGTTCAGGGATTAGTGGCAACAGGGAGAAAAGTGCCCAGAAAGTTATCACAACAGCAGTAAATTCAATTTCCAGCTATTCTTGATATAGGGACAACGACGGGATAGGTGTTCGGTTGCTAGAGAAGAGAAGGGAAAGAAGAAGAATTGGGAGAATTTCATATTGAATTTACTGCAGGAAATTAATTTTAATTTAAATAAATTACCGCAAGGGACAAGATACTATCCACTGCTTAAAGATCACCACAAGTAGAAAACCTTATCTAAATTTTAAAATTAAAAATACAAACTTATCCATAAGTATCGCAATCCACCTTTATCCTACCGGCATTGTTGCCATCCGACACTCCAGATTTCCAACCTCCTTACACTATTGACCATCAAGCATGTGATCAAAAATCTATATTCTCAATGGACTCCTTGTTGACTTGATCTTCAAACTTTACACTAGGATCAGAGAATCACAATCAATGGCAATCTCCATCTAAAAATAAGATGGATAGACATCAACAAACCCCCTCTTTTAATCCCTTGGAAATTTAACACTCAAATTGTGAAAATGCTTCTTATACAGATTTCTTCGAAGTGGATGATCAGCTTGAACATCCCCTTCAAGATCTAATATCCAGATTAGCCCCTACAAAATTTGTTAGGAGATTTGTTGTTCCCCATTACACTTGGATGTCGTTCATTCTAATCAAACCACAAGTAAATTTGGTGTTACTCCATTTTCCACCAAAGTTCAAGTTTGGATTCACTTTCATTCCTTGTTTTTCATATGTGTCGTGTAAAGCAGACTAGTATATTATCATTTCTTCTTCTTTTTTCTATGAAAACCAAAAAAAAAGTATTTACTGAAATTGTGATACATCTATAAGGTTGTTTTCACATATTTCAAAAAAACGTCTAACATACTAACTGAATTTTTATTTAGCAGATTAAATATTAATAAAATGAATTAGTGATTACTTAATGTGTAATTATGACCATTAGGTTTTAAAGACGTTCAATTTTGATAATAAGGTACGGAATGATTAACATATTAAAGAATCATATAGCATAGTTAAACTATTTACTAAAGTTAATAACATATTGGTTGTACTTTTAATTATGATCATAAAGTTTTATTAATATACATCCACATTAATATGACAGTGTAAAGTATTTAAAAAATAAGCTTGAATATTAATAAGATTTTCAGTTGGCCCAGGCACTGGTGCTTAACTAATTATTTAAGCTATCTTCGTATTAATCAGGGTTTTAAATTAATAATATTTTATAAGAATTTACTTATGGTAATCAAGAGAACTAATAATTAATTCATAAATAATCGAAGTAAATGATAACGAACTTTTCATCCATGTTAACTAATTATCAATTTAACTATAGTCATGTTTAGCTACGAAAGTTCAGTATCATAAAAATAATTAATAATTAATCACGCATATTAAATTATAATTAATCATTTCTTATACTAAATTATGAATTAATTATCATTTTAATTATAATGAATGATATTTGGAAAACCGATTAAATTTTACATTAATTAGTAAAATGTTACTAATTAATCTAATAAGCTTATAAATAATTAGTGATTTATTATGATAACGTTTATTAATTAGAGATTAAATAATTTTTAATTCAGTTAATTAATATTTAGATGTGATTGATAATGGATTAAACACTAAATTATAATACTTAAATATAATTCATCTTCCAGTTTTCACAACCAAGCATGCTTTTTAATGTTAAAAAAGGAAAACAAGCATAACATCAAAAAACTTTTGTATTTTTAATGAAAACGAAAACGAGACAAAATGCAAAAATAAAACACATTCAATCATGGCCTTAAATAATCTCAAAATCTAGCAAGTTAACAAAAGCGAATTGCAACTTAAAGTAGACCTTCACTAACCAAATAGACAAAAAAAAAAAAGAGTATATTGCTATAAAAAAAATTTGACGAGTAAAATTTCAAGAGAGATTTAGATGGGCACGTCAGAAGCCTTGTTCATTGGAAGTTATGTAAGGTTGTTAAGTTAAATACCTTTGGAAAACTAGCTGTAAATGGAACTGTCAAAAGAGCAAGTACCCTAGAAAAGTTCTTCATGGTGTTGGCCATATGATTCCCTTCCATACCTTCTTGCATATTCAACTGAAAAAATAATAAATACCTCATTTTCAAAAAATTCAAATAGAACATAAGAGAAAATATTGGACAAAATGAATAAAAAATGTGTGAAAGAAAAAAAATCAAAACAGTCCTCCACATTGCAAAGCAGCAAAGATATTCATTTTGACTTAAAAAATTATGATAATCTATGAGCCACATGAGCATGGCATGCTGGCCAGAAAAGTGGATTGCAATTTTGTTTAGTGTAACCAAGTTAAACCAACTTAAGAGCCAGCTTGAAATCAACTTGACAAATAGCTCGCTAGCTGGGCTCAATGGGCTCAATGAGTTAACAAGCTAATCCTGGACCAGCCTCGAGTCAACTCCTCACTTATGAGCCAACTTATTTAAGAAAAATTAATATAAATAAACTTAAAATATAATAAATTAAATTGTATGAATATAAATTATTTAAAAATATTTAAATTTTATATTTTACTTACTTATATTATTTCTTCTTTAATAGCTCACTCTATTTGACGTTTTATTACACCAATTACTTGAATCAAACTCATTCTCTACTCATAATCAATTAGTTGGCTCAGCAGTTGCCTCAAATTTGTAGAATTAATCTCGAGCTCAAGCTTAATTTGGGGGTTGCTCAAGCTTGACTCAACTTATTTACACCCCTTAACATATGTATAATAGAATGGTAAATAGAATAGATTTTAACATTCAACAAAATGGTCTAGTTAACAAGAGTAAAAACAATCATCTAAATAGCACAACTGCAAATATGTTCGCTATTTTTACTTCAAAAATTATACTAATCTTTGGAGTACTTTAATTTTTAATCTTTGGACCACTTAAGATATGGCTTGTTGACCATAAAAGTTCATATTAATATCGACTGAAGTTACTAAAAATATATATGATTGTAAGGTAAATAGTATCAGAAATAATTTCGAAATGGCCAAAAATTTTCCAATCAAAATTTGGTTATATTTAGAAATAACATTCAGTTCATATATTTTTTTATTGATTCTAGAATGCATAAAGTACCAATTTGAAATGAAATATTGCAAGCAGCTCTCCTATCAATGTATGTATGACTTTATTTTATGCCAAATAGCACATCAAAGCGTAACTAAATGAAGTCATAGTCCCAAGTAGTAAAATTGCTTGTGAAACTAGAAAATGATTAAAGCAGAGATTAACGTAGAAGAAAAGAGGTTTAATATAAATAGAATAAATATTAGACAAATGATATAACATTTAAACTTTTATAAAATTAAATTTCTAAGTCAATATAACTAAAATATCAAGTACGTTTGCAAACAAACAGAACCAAGTACGGTAAGAGGTTATTCAAGCTCAAGCTCATTTAAAAGATTGTTCAAGCTCGAACCGAGCTTAATTTAAATTTTTATGATAGTGTTCAAACTCAAGTTTATTTACATAGTGCAAGCATTAAACCTGAGTTTCTCATTTAAAAGAATAAGCCTTAACGAGCTCAGCTGTTAAGTGTGAAAAATGAAACTTCAATCGAACAAGCTTAATAAATATGCTTTTTATCGTATCAAGCTGAGTTTATTCGCAAGTTGCTTCTCATGTGGACGTTTTTCAAGCATCTAGCCATAATTCAATCTTAATCAAGTTTTATATCAAGACTTAATCAAGAATTTTAATGAATTTAATCACAAAATTTAAACAATAATGATCATCATCACAAACAAATCGAGTAATTGTTGGTGTCAATTTTTTATGTCACGGATGTAAGAAGTCCACATGACAGGCTCGAGATTCTTCATGGCTCATGCATAGCATCCCATAGCTCAAGACAGCCATCTGAAACCTCCGATAAGTGTTTGGGGCATGAAAACAAGGTCTGCGACGATTCGCCCTTACATGGGAGAATCAGCCTTTTAGCAGGCCTGCTCAGGACATTGGACATGTTTGATGTCCATCCCGGTGTTTAGAGGCCCCTCAGTATCCATTCAAAAACTTCCCATGGTCGAGGGAAATAATGGAGCCCTCCTGCGCCCACTTCGGAAAAATCACCGCAAGGTGGTGTTAGCCTCGACTCAGAACGTGTTTTATGTCTGTTCTAATGTTGAGAGACTCAAATCCATCAATTCGGACTCTTCTGAGGCCAAGGGTTGTCATTGGGAGTCCCCACACACATTTTGGAGAAATTTGGGTTCATACTCCGTTCTGATGTTGAGAGAATCAAATCCATCAATTCGGACTCTTCTGAGGCCAAGGGTTGTCGTTGGGAGTCCCCACACACATTTTGGAGAAATTCGGGTTCATACTGATTTTACCCCGGTGGGGTCCGCGACGACCGACGACACCAAAAAACCCAGTTTGAAACCCTTGAAATGTTCATTTCTGAATTACGGCGTCGTATTCCAGCAATACACAAGTTTTCGTGGCTTTCGGATCGATGAGAACCTTCCTACAGCCAATCGGGCAAAAATTTAGGTTCGTAACACCCTACCCGCATCTTGGTCCGAGGTGTCATATTTCAGTCATGCTTGGTCCCCCATAGCTCACGAATAAACCCTACATTAGACAATCTACACTAAAATCAACATTTTCGAGCTAGACCGGTGCCTGGGCGCTAGCCCCACGGGCCTAGACGCTCAAAACTGTATCCGGAGCCTCCGAACCGATCCCCTGGAACTCTGGCCTCAGTTTCTAGCGCCTATGCGCCAAACTGAGCACCAAGGCGCCCAAAATAGCTTAAAAAAGCCATTTTCCCGAGCCCGCGGAAAGTAGGCGCCACTTGGATGGCACTAGGGGCCTGGCGCTTGCGCCTAGACGCCGGTCCACTTCCAGGACGCAATTTTTCTCATTTTTAGGGCCAATTTGATTAGAGGATATTTGGTTTGGTGATGGGAAAAGAGGGTAGATATACTTCTTTTAGGCTTCTTTTGGAAGCTTCCAAGAAGGCTTATCAAGGGCATGGCATTTTTGGCAAAGGAGAGGTGGTGAGCTGATTTTAACCTAGGGGAGCCTCATTTCTTCCCCATCTCCTCTCATTACAATTTTAGGGGGGCTGAAGCTTTGAGTGCTTGAGAGGGCAAGGAAGAACTCTTCTTCTTCCTTGGAGCTAGGGTTTCTTCTTGACAGCCTTGAGGTGGAGAGCTTGGGGAAAAGGAAAGTGTGAGAGCTTCTACTTCCTCATCCCTTTCTTCTTTTTCCACAAGAAACTCTTCTCCCTCCTCTTTTCTTCCTCCTCTCCTTCATTTTCCTCCACCACTTACCTTGAGTGTGTGAGGAGATTTCCTTAAGGAGAAAGCGTTTGGCTAGCAAGGGAGCAAGGTTTCTTCTCTCCTACACTAAATAAGAGTTTCATCCTAGCTTGGAAATGATCGTCGGAGCAGCGCCGGAACTTTGCTAGAGCTCAAAACCTCGCTGGACTCTGCTTCTAAAGGAGAGCTTCTGAATGAGTGAAGTGAACCTCGTCGGAGCTTCGCCGAAACGTCGTCATCTCTCCTACCATTAAGAGAGCTTCATCCTACGTGAAGAAACGCTTCGATACCCGTCACGTAGGTGAAACTCCTCAAACCCTTTGCACATTCTTTCTTAACTAGCCCTGGGAATAGATTTTGCTAGGTGTTGTGGGTTTGGTCGTCCAGAGGAGTCAAGTTGGCCGGCCAACACTATTCGGCGCGTCTATACGCCCTTGAATTGGTCGTTGATTTCCTAGAGAAAAACTTAGGTTATGAATCCCTAGTTTCGTCACCGATTAAACACTAAAAGTCAGGAATATCACTTTCATACAAAATATACTAACAAGCACTCTTGTAATAGTCTACCCATAACATTGTTTGTGATATTTCTTAAAGCATAAAACCTATAACATACATTCATAGACATTCAATATATCACAGGCATGAATCATAGAAAATGAATACCTGCATATAATTATTTCATAAGCATAGTCACATGTATCAGAACATAATAGCAGTATATGTATCGTAATAGAAATTAACTAGCATTCACACATTTCAGGCATGTATTTATTTATAATATGCAAGAAGTCTAAATGCAACAGCATCGAATACATAATCACATAAAACCGACAGAAAGTTATTTTTCTTAAATTAACACAAGATTATTTCTCCTGACTTGACGGAGGAGCCCTAAGATGATTTTTTGTCACGCTCGTCTCGAGCTTGCCGTCTCGTGTAAACAACCTCGGGTTCGTAGGCCACATAATTTTTATACCCAAAACATACCTCACATGGGCTACTCGGCATAAACTTGCTTTTTCAAAATCGTCTATTTTCTCCCCAACTCCAAACACTTCAAATCTAACTTCCCCTTCGTTGATTTCGTTCTAAGACCCATACGAAAGCTTTCAAATCACTTTTGACAATTCTGACATAAATTTGGTGCCTCCGACGGCTGTCGGAAATAAAAAATGCACACAAATTGTGGCAAACATCAAGACAGAAGCAAGAGGAAGAAAATGAAAGCCTCAAATAGCGTGAAATAAGGTTTTACACTTACCAAATTCTCTTTGAAATCCTTAATCGTATTGCGGCTTCACTGTGGGTCACCTAGTTCGCGCGGCTATAGAAGCCCGAGCATGGCTATCACGTGAGAGAAGAGTCTAGAAAGGAAAAAATGAAAGAGTGCAACACTTAAGAAAATCTCACCTGAAATCTCAGTCGTTTGATCTCATCCCACAACTGCATGCACGAGAAAATGCAGGAGTCGATGGCTACAATGCACGATACAAGAGATTAGGGAAATAATTAAGGTTTAATTAAAGTTAATTAAACTTGAAACTTCAAAATTTTATAATTCTCAATCCGTTCATAATTTACATATTGTGATTCATATTACATTGATCTATTTCATGCATAGAACCTATTATTTTGATTGAATTTTCAAGAATATGAAAGTTGGGGTACTTTTTAAATTTACAGAGCGTGCGTAATTTCTCGAATTTTGGGCGTTACAAAAAGAATTCTCTACCATATGATTAGAGAATTGAACCATAAATCAAGACCATAGATATCAATTTTGGAGACTAAAGGTAATTAAAATCATACCTTTATGGGCACTTGTATTGATTATAATTTCAAACACTACAGAATTTTATTTGAGCTAAATAACCAATGATAACCGATGAATCGAATAAAGGTTCTCGAATATCAATGTTATCATGGGATCTTGATTCATAGCATAAGGCAAAACTAGAAGAGTAACTTCTTTCCAAGGCCATCTGATGTTTAACCATCACCATGGTTCAAACCGAGTAAAAAAACTTGGCAGAATTAGAGCTTTATGAAGAAGGCTTGCAACTGAGGATTTGAAAGAAAGAGAATGATGTCTCTAAACACTGCTGAAAAAATATATAAGAAAAATGCTACATTTTTTCATATAACAATAGATAGGAGAGGTACAGTCTTTACAACAGATACAAAGCCCAATTAGTGGGCCTAGAATAGAAAGTTAACAAAAGAAAAAAAAACATAATTGTATCTATGAAGGACAAAAAAAAAGGAATAAATTTAACATGATCGATTACAACAAAAAATGGAAAGAATGCAAAATTTTAAAAACATTCCACATAAAAAAAAAAAGAAAGCTAATTGATAACAGCTATACAGGACAGTTACGGCTTGACAATAGAGAATGCAACAGCTGGTAGAATACAGCATATAAAGCAACAACAAGGGGACTGTTGGCTGACAGACTGCAGTAATTTTTTATGCAGCAGATGATAGCATTCCTGAATAGATTGAATGGCTGAACTGTGCTGAAGAGTAAGTGGAGGGGATTTTAGAATTGAAAGTGTGTTTATTATTATTTCAAAAAATGTTTCTTGATTTTATTAGGTGTTGGCCACAATTTCTAAGGCTTCCAAATTTGCTCCCACGATTTCCAGAAGTTGAAAATAGCAGAATCATAGCATTACTTTCAGGGGGAAAAAATGCACTAATAAATCTTTAGATCAAGTCGAAGCATGCCAAAAAAAGGTGGAGACATAACAAGACTAAAAAATGACTGCATGAGACATCTAAGAATCAAGAAAAATAAGGAGCCCCTATTAATATTTAAAAAAAAACAGTAGCTTTACCATAATATAATTAAAGCACACAGTTCAGACACTTTAGTCTTCTAGATGAGGTTTCAGAACTCAACACAGAAAGAGAGCTTATAATCTAACTTAAATTCCTAACAGCTTGTTAAGCACGGTGGAAAGGACATGCCTTTTTTTATCTTAATTTGTGATTTCTTTGTGCAGCAAGGCGAAGTGGCTTGCTAGTCATGCAGTTACAATGGGGATGATTTGACCTTGCACGTACTAAATGACATACACAGAAAAGCCATGCAAAAAAAAAAAAAGAAAACCTAAACAATGCAAAATTCTAGAAATGGTTTTAACTTATAAACACGAGTTTGCTCCATTAAATAACAGTGAATGAAGATTTTTCCCCTTTAAATAATTATACAGTCCCCCACAAAGAAAGGATGAAAAGGTGAAAAAATACACTTCTTGAGAATATGACGTACTTGCATGAATCCAACAACTTGTCATAAGCCACCATTTCTTCCTCAACCACCACAAAAGGCTTAGAAAGAAAAATATACAAACATTCGAATTTTCAACGTACATCAGTACAAAGAATACCAGCTCTCCAAGCCTTCTAATTTCTTGATTCTAAGCCACTCCTTTGGGGAAAACTCCAAGCAATTAAAAGAAAATTGCTGGAAGAAGTAAAAAAAAAAAAAAACTGAACAGAAATGATATCAAGATTCAACTTCCAGCATCCAATAGCTTCAAAATACAAAATCTCCAGTTATATCAAACCATATTAACAAAAAAGAAAAACCTGACCTCAACAGTTGCCAAGAATGTCAGAGAAGTCAAAACTGGAAAGATGTACATGGGATCTGGAGTTGTCAGATCTGTAAACCAATATGCTCCGCCTACCTTAAAAGATGGCACTTTGTCAACCATGTTTGAAATCTATTATATAGAAGGGCAATTTCAGTAATCAAAGAATATTCACAAAGATTACCCATAAAAACTCTAAGAGAACAATAATGCCAAAGGATCAAAACAAGCAGAAGTCAAAATGCTGGATAATGTAAATACAAATTGACCAAGGAAGTGAACTTACAGCAAAGAAAAAACTGATAAAAATAGGACCTTGAATTAAAGCGCCCTTTAGCGGAGAAGATGGAGTGACTCCATGCCTTCAAGAACCAAGTCAATGAACAATGAAGGCAACAAGTTTCAATAACATCGAATTCAACAAAGTGAAACATGTAGACTAAAATACAGATTGGTACATTAAAAGAATATTCAGCCCAATATTAATGCGGTTTACAACTTGAGAAAAAAACAAAGGAAGAAGAGCAAAAATTAAAAGAAGGAGCACACAAGAGCCTTAGATTTGGCAATTACAAAAACTATTATCAAGGCCTACACTTTAGAAGCTCAGAATACAAGCAATAATAGTAAAAATATTAAAAAAAAAGCATTCCTTATTCTACGTCACTTGAATTCACTATTTGTTGAAGAATTTTCATATAAGTAAATAAAAAGTTTCTTATACATGCAAGTTCTTGCATTTAAACTCACCACTCTAGGAGTAGTCCCTTTTCTCTCAGACAAACAAAAACAAAACTGTAAATAAATATTCTTTTCAGGTAAGATATCAAAGAAGTTCACTCCCTGAAATCACCTTCTTGTTTTATTACCGTCACACTGAACAATCTAACCTGATTCTTGTTCAGCAAAATAAATATCAGCCAACATTACTCTATGTTCAGTAAGACAAAACAAATGTGCTCAATTAATCAAAATCTTCCTGTTACTAAATTTCCATATCTGAAGCAGTTTGTTTGACCTTGATAATTTTAAAGAGATAAAAGAAAGAACATCAAATCAATTATTCGTATTTGGTTAAAACCAGCCTTTTTTCTGGAATATTGCAAGTTTGATAAGATTGATGCGTTTGATTTAAGAGAATCAGCCATTTTTCATCAATGAAGGACGAACAAAAACACGACACAATACGGCTATGAGGCATAATTACAAAAAGTGGGACATGACATGTCATAGACACTTTTTTATGATAAATAAATTATTAATATATATTTGTTTTTCGTTATTCTCAACTACATACATCATAAAATAAAGTATGGAAGAATATAATTTATCTTGTGTTATAAGGTATAATTAGGGCTACACGTATATTTATAATTTTCTACTTCTCGTGTCCTATTTTTCCCCAAATCGTGTCAAGCCCGTGTCTGATACCATGTCGAGGTGTGCCCTAGACATGTCCGGATCTGAAAAAAATTCAGACATTTTTTGCAGTGTTGGACACATGTCAGGCATGTCGAAGCCTTGTCCGTGTCCGACGTGGGTACAGCGTATTTTTATAAGTGTAGGTACTATATAGTTTTCCATCAATAAGCTTGAAGACCACATCAATCAATAGAAGAGAATTGATTCAGCCACCATATCATGCTATATTATAATTGTGCTTCTAGGACATGTTATTTCAAAGATGTCATTTTAAGAAATATTCATTCTATTTGCTGAATCCCCATTAACTGATTCATCTAACAGCAGCAATGTTCAAATTTATCATTTTTCCCTAGTGCTGCTTCTATGTTCTAATACCATCGGAGTAAAACAAGCTTGGCTTCTTTATGGCGAGGATGCATAGTCATATCAACTCGATGTATTTTAAAAAACAAATCGCCAACACCCATGAAAGGAAGGTACTTTCTTCAATTTTATCAACTCACACTCTTATACTAATGAAAAAACGACATCTGAATTGGAACTACCAAAAGTACGCTAAACAGAAAATTTAAAATTGAATTAGCATTTAAAAGAATAAATAAAAAAAATAAAATTGTATTAGAGTCTGCTTTCTTGTACATCCAATCGAATTCTTCTAATACCATAATAAGAAATTTTATATAAGACTGAACATCGAGGTAAAAAAATATAGGGGCAATCTTAAATAAAATCAATATTCACAATGCTAAAAAACAATTACCAAAGAAGGATGGTTGTGTCATAAATGAGAAATTGAAAGTAGATTCATAGAAGCATCTGACACCAACAGCATGAAATCCGTGTTTGTCAAGATAAACATGAGATTGGAGATATTCCCATATTAGAAAAATAAAAGATGAATTCCTAATAATCATGATACTAGAAAATAATCATGTGAATAGCATACCCATGTAATAAATAAAAGAATAAAAAAGACATTCATAGTACATGACAACAACATTGTGAAAGCCATGATCAATAAGTTACATGTACGATTGGAGATTATCCCATATTGGAAAAATAGAAGTTGAGTTACCAGTTTATTAAAAATGGCCCTCACCCATTAGCTCAAGCTTTAAGTTGAAGTGTCCCTCTTCTTAGGTGTTGGACCCAACTTGGGCATCCCAAGTGTTCCACCCTCCTAAAAAAATTTATTAACAAGAGGTTCTATGGCGGATAGTAAGGCCAAGATCAAGTGCTTCATATGGTTTGTGGCATCAATGGATCTTAATAGCATTCACCACAAACATGTGATGTCCATGATCAAGGCGACTCCAGAATAAGCTCCACATGATTGAGTGAATTCTAGCTGCATGACTTTTTTATGGCATTAAAAAGCTTTTGTCCACTACTAGAAGTACAAAAATTGGCTTCCAAATATACAAATAGGGGCTCTTATTATCATAAGCTTTTTGGTTGATGGATGTTGATGCGGAACTTCTGTAATTGCTCCATACAATCTGCAACTCCTACCGCTCCCACGGATCTTGACTTGTGACCATGTAGCGTATGATGATTTCTTCAACTCTTTGCTGTGGCAAATGTATTATTGTGGAACTCTGAGATGATTCTAGAGTAAATTTGAGAAAATTTTGCAATATCTGATTCGGACAATTTAGGATACTCTTAATTATTTTATTTCCATCCTATTCTATGTTATTTTATTTCTCATCTCATAATTATTTCCTTTCCTAATTTTGGTTTGATATATTTTGTACGTTTGTAAATTAGGAAGGATTATTTTCCCTATATATATGTACCATACAAGTGAACAATGTGGATCAAGCAAATTATTTCTCTATTAATTTTTTTGCACGATATCGGAGCCTTGGAACAAAACCTAGTGACACGGCAGTCCTAGGGGGTTGAACCGGCCTGCTAAACCTGCACTGATTCAGTGGGGAGGGTTTGGAACCGACAAGTCCTAAGAATTTGGGTCTGTTGCCGCTCCCTCCACATATCTACTATTATACATAGGTGTTTTGAGTCTTAAGGTTTCAATTTTTTATGTTTACTAATTTCAGTTTGTGAAGACAGCCGCCGGGTGGTGCTCCAATTGTATCCTTCTCACCCGATGTTGATTACCTTCCCCGACTTCCACCTCCGCCCTCCATCCTTGCCACCAACTGCCTTCCTAGCAACTTCATCTTCCAACCCCTGGTCCCGACCCCCTCCTTGTCGCTACTGAGCTTTCCAATGGTTTCTTGAAAACAGTCGGCAATCTATAATTCGAGTCTTCAACTCTCCCAGTTGTTCACTCACCACCATGACCCCACTACTTCCCCTCACATCAATACAACAAACTACCATGTTGCAGCCTGCTCTGCTCTTGTCTCCTCCTGCTACAATGCTCAGTTTCAGCCATCCCTCCTGTTGTCCTGTAGGAGTTCATCCCATCGTCAAGACTTATAACTACTAAAAGAAAGTCTCTCTAAACACACAAATGATCCCACCTCTATTTTTTGTTGTCCATGTTTGTAGAACTAGCGTTCATGAAAAAGTGAAGAACCACAGAAATCTGTCAGAAAATAATTAATCTCATTCAAATCATCATCAGAAGCCATCAAAAGAGAGTACTCATCTTACGGAGTATCAAGAAGGCCAAAAAAAGCCTTAATTTTCATAGAGCTGGAGTTTACTTGCTTCCCCCTCACATAATTTTTTTCATCCTTATGCACCTTAGCATTAACATAAAACTCACAGATCACAAGAATCACGGCTACCTCAGTCTTGTAGAAGAACTTATCCCAATACCTATTCACTATTACACCTTCTAACATGCTCCGAGGCTCCAAGAATCCCCTCTTGGATAAGTTTTTTTGATACCAACAAGTCTTTGGATCAAATAGCAGCCTCGAAACATACGAACTTCTTCGCGTCAAAAGTGGTTGATTTATTCCCTCACTTAACTCTTAGGGCCATGGATAACGACAACTAATGCACAAGAAGGAAGAAAACAAGAGAGGTAAGCAATAAATGAAAGAAAATAACAAAGAAACCTTACCTCAAACCAAATAGAAGGCTTTAAGGATCTCATGTTCTTCCTCCTCTCCTCCTCCTCCACTTTCTCTTCTTCTTTCTTCTTCTCTGGTTCGAACAGCTAGGGCTTAAAGAAAAACGATAGTAAAAAGCAATCGAGAAGTTAAATAAGGAAAGTGAGCTTGGGAGCCTCGGGTTGTCAAACCAGGAAGCAATTGACTAGATTTAGGAATAAATGTGTAGTACAGGGGCAATGTCAGGTTGCTTGATTGGGCATCAGGTCACTCATATTCAAACTGGCAAGAAAGCGCTCAAATGATCAAGCTGGCGCGTGTATCAGAGGAGGAAGCGCAGAGGCACCAATGCAAGCGAGGCAACGCTCCAAGTAAAATAAGTTTTTTTTTCTAGATTTTTTTAGCTCACTCCACAAAGCAACTTCACTTCAACAAAAATCAAAATAAACTAACCACACAACCCAAATGCATCAAACAAAATCAAACACAATCAAATTTTAAAGCAAAAAAACAATCAAATCACAAGATGAGGCTCAGGTTACCTTCCAAGTAGCGTTTGATTTAAAGTCTTCAATCAGACAATGTCAAATCATACATAAAATTTTTCTCCAAGATCAAATTATCGTTTTAATAGTCCTCGATTAATCACCCAACAACTTAAGAGTCCCTGAAAAACTCATAAATCCTCAAATTTCAGTCACAAACTTGATCTTCCTAATTATAAGTATTATTCTCTAAGCCCTTATTTAAAATTTACTGCAATTTCTTAATCTCAATTTTACAGCAATCTTAAATCTTAAACATTATTTCTTGATATAATGCCCTCATGGTTAACTTCATTTTTTGTAAATCGATTTTCCACTCCCTATAATAAGAAAAAATTTATCAATAATAATAAAGATCTT